TTGCACACGCTGAAGCTTCCCTGTACCTGCAGAAGCAAAACAGCCCAAAGCATGATTGACCCTCCACCATGCTTCACAGTAGGCAAGGTGTTCTTTTCATCATAGGCCTTGTTCTTCCTCCTCCAAACATAGCGTTGATCCATGGGCCCAAACAGTTCTAATTTTGTTTCATCAGTCCACAGAACACTATCCCACAACTTTTGTGGTTTGTCCACATGGCTTTTGGCATACTGCAGTCGACTCTTCTTATTCTTTGGAGACAGCAAGGGGGTACGCCTGGGAGTTCTGGCACGGAGGCCTTCATTACGCAGTGTGCGTCTTATTGTCTGGGCTGAAACTTCTGTACCCACATCTGACAAATCTTTTCTCAGTTCCTCAGCAGTCACACGGGGACTTCTCTCCACTCTACGCTTCAGGTAGCGCACAGCAGTCGAAGTCAGCATCTTCTTTCTGCCACGACCAGGTAGCGTTTCAACAGTGCCCTTTGCCTTGAATTTGCGAATGATGCTTCCTAAGGTGTCTCTTGGTATGTTTAACATCTTTGCAATCTTCTTATAGCCATTGCCCTTCCTGTGAAGAGAAATCACCTCTTCTCTTGTCTTCCTGGACCATTCTCTTGCCTTCACCATGTTTGTAACCACACCAGTAAATGTCTAGAAGGAGCTGAGTATCACAGTCATTTTAAAGCTGCCTAATTGGTGCTTATTATGCTTGATTGCTGCTCGGTGACATCCACAGGTGTTTTCAATAACTGATGGAAAGCACCTGTATGAACCTCTGTTCTTCAGAGTGGTAGTCTTTAAGGGGTTGAATAATTGTGGCAATGAAGAAACCACATAAGAACCATTTACTACTGTATTACATAAACAATTGATGTCATTTTAGTTGCATTTGGGTAGTTACAACGTCCTTGTAGGATTTGATTCTGAATACAATTCCAAATGTACACTATAGTCCCTAAACCCCTTTACAGCATTGGGGGTTGAATAATTTTGGCCACAACTGTAGATGGCAAAATGTGAATGGAACTTCAAATACTACTTCTGCTTAAACTGAAAACAAGAACTCCCCATAAAAATGCCCACTCCCTTCAAACACACGTGTTAGTTGTCTCGTAAAACGCCGCGGTGGCTCTCCGTACCGCGCTGTCCTGATATAACTTAATGTCATTGTGTTTGTTACATTGTAATCGTCACTCTTTGGTTAAGCCCCGTCTGCTCTTCTATAAAGCCTATTTTGAGACGCTGTGCATTAAAATGTCTACGCAGCTGTCAGCGGAGAGGAAAGGGGATCAGCGCGGCGTTCACAGCGGACAAAAGCAAACAGAGAATATTATACGATTGTCGCACTGAGGAGGAATGACTCCGCACAGTCTAGAAACAATCCGTACAGCTTCCTGGACACAACACTTAAAGGGACACTACCCCAGAATAATACGGCATTTAGATTACATATACTGCACTTTTATTACATATTATGATGATGCATACAGTATGTTCCTTTTTTAGGGCTTGTTCACACTGGTGGTAAGGTTTACCACCCCTGAAAAGCAATCTACTGTGTATCGCTTTTAAGAGAGTAGAGCACTCAGGAGGTGCTACTGCTGCTTCCTGCTACCTTTTTTTTTTTATTACTTTTTTACTGAATGATAGTTTTACATATCAGGTCTGCAAGCCTCATGGTGCTGCCCAATGGATCCCAATGGGCAAGTTTGACTGGGGGTGCCACCACAGCATACGCACCATATGGGCAGGGCTGCTGTCAGAAACCATGGAGTCCCATACTGCCAAATCATCAAAATTTACTATGCTTCAGTTATGAATGAACACAGTGATTGGTACCAATCACTCACTGTGTTCATTCAGGAAAGGAAAGGGCTGGTAAATGTGACATATTTATGGACTCTTCCCCACTCTTCATCCTAAGGATCCTATAGTGCAGGGGTGGGCAACTGTGGCCCTCCAGCTGTTGGCAAACTACAAGTCCCATCATGCCTCTGCCTTTGGGAGTCATGCTTGTAACTGTCAGTTTTGCAATGCCTCATGGGACTTGTAGTTCTACAACAGCTGGAGGGTCACAGTTGCCCACCCCTGCTATAGTGTGTTTGCAGCTGGGAAGGAGAGAAGAGAAAGGGTGTGTGTGTGTGGGGGCTTGGGGAGCATGGGGAAATGTATGGTGCATTGGGAGGTGCTCCAGAGAGAGCCATACAGGGGATCAGTTCCAGTAATTGCCCCCCTACCCCCCACTGCGCTGATCTCCCTCCCTGCCCACATCTGATTCATCCGGCTGCCTGAGCCCCCCGCCTGGTCTGGGCCCCGTACAGGAGGACCAGTGGTACCCCCTTATCCATGGCCCTGAATATGGGGACATGCTGCCTCCTGCTGATGGGCGTGCTTGCAGTTAATTCTCGATGCATCCTGCAAGCGCAGGTGCACACATGGCTACAAAATGGTTTGGCACAATTTTAACCTCTTTGCGCCGGCCGCACGCAAATGTGCGGCCTCCCGGTGTCTGGGCCTTGACGCTGAGCAGCCACACATTTGCGTGCAATTAAGAAAAACATATGTGCTGAGACTGCGCGCCCTTTGCGCTCCCAGCACACATGTCCGGTACACACAGAAAGGTCCCGATCTCCTCTTTCGATCAGGACCTTTCCTGATAATGTGATCTCCGTGACGGCAAATCACGGCGGTCACATGACCCTAAAACCCCGCCCCGTCCTCCTGGCTTCTGAAACACTTCAAGGGTTGGGAGGCGCTGGCGCCAAGGGGTTAAAAGTCTTGCCTCCTGGCCTGTTTGTGCGTTCCTGTGCGTTCAGCAGCCTCTTGAAATGAATAGGCTACAGAAAATGCACCACATGGGAACGCACAAAACCATGTGCACTTGTATGGGTTGAGTCAGTGTACTGTTAGGGTCAGGGACAGGGGCGGACTGACAACTCATGGGGGCCCCCGGGCAATAGGGGATCATGGGGCCCCTGTGTCCTTGCCCAAACTCAAAAAAGCCTATGAAAAAGGTACCAGGGGCATCTCATGGGGCCCCCTACTGACCTCGGGCCCTCGGGCAGTGCCCGAGTTTCCAAATGGTCAGCCCGCCCCTGGTCAGGGATTAGAGCACGGGTGTCAAACTCCATTTCATCACCGTATCACCATTATGGTTGCCCTCCAAGGGCCGGTTGTATCTGTAAGACGATAACAATATTAGCTGATAACAGAAGCAGATAGGATAGGAAGCTAAGCGATCACTGAATTTCTGGCAGGATCAACAGGTGTGTTTTTTATTATTAAACAGACATAATAAAATACTTTCAATACTACATGTAGTACCATTAGCACTACAGAACACCTACCCCTCTCCTTATCTCCATTACATAGATGGAGATGTTCTGTAGTCCACAGAGAGAGCTGGGATCGATGTAACAGAGCCAGATGAGATAGGAAGTTAGGAGATCACTGAATTTCTGGCAGGATCAACAGGTGTTTTTTTTATTATTAAACAGACATAATAAAATACTTTCAATACTATATGTAGTTACCATTAGCACTACAGAACACCTACCCCTCTCCTCCTTATCTCCATTACATATATGGAGGTGTGCTGTAGTCCACAGAGAGAGCTGGGACCGATGTAACAGAGCCAGAACACCTACCCCTCTCCTTATCTCCATTACATAGATGGAGGTGTGCTGTAGTCCACAGAGAGAGCTGGGACCAATGTAACAGAGCCAGATGAGATAGGAAGTTAAGAGATCACTGAATTTCTGGCAGGATCAACAGGTGTTTTTTATTATTAAACAGACATAATAAAATACTTTCAACACTACATGTAGTACTATTAGCACTACAGAACACCTACCCCTCTCCTTATCTCCATTACATAGATGGAGGTGTGCTGTAGTCCACAGAGATAGCTGGGATCGATGTAACAGAGCCAGATGAGATAGGAAGTTATCCTGGCAGGATCATTCGTCTTTTTTTTTGCGATTATTGAACAGATATAAGAAAACACTTCCAATGGTCGTGGACCAGCACCGTACCCGTACATCATCAGGCCTCATCCCGGGGCCGTTTTTTTAGAGCCGATGTTCGGCTCTCTTGTAAAAGCAAACCTAGCGGCTAACTAGCCACTGGATCACTTTTACAAACAGCGGGAAGGGAAATCCCCCCCGTCCCGCCGCTTTCCGCGCCTTTCTCGTGCTGTCCCCATCTGACGGTGACACCCAATCCACCAGTCGGTGCTTCCCACCGGCCGATCATAGAGATGAACAAAGACAGGACCGCTCCATTCACCTCTATGATATAGGGAACTGGAAGCCGTGAGCATACATCACTTGCGAACGTCGTCATTTTTTTTAAAAACGAAAAGCATTTGATCTCACCGATCTTGGCGAGATCTAATGCTTTTAAGGGCAGAGGAGGGATTTGGGGTCTTATAGATCCATAAAGAGGACCTGTCACTGCCTGTTGCTGTCAATAGGGATGTTTACATTCCCTGCGACAGCAATAAAGCTGATTTAAAAAAAATGCAAAGTGACAGTGGAAAAATTTAACATAAATAAATCATTTATTTTTAAAAATTTTAAAGGCCCCCCCCACAGCAAAGGCATGCCATCCGTTGGTCCCGCACACACCCAAAAAGTGATCGTCCCATACCTGTGAGGTATCACCGCAAATGTCGGAACATGGTCAAAACTTCCAGTACCAGACCTCCTGTGTAAATCTATAATGGTGACCTGTAAAGGCATCATCTATGGATAGTAAAATTTACATTGTTTGTCGCCGTTGCACGGCTTGCGCAGTTTTTTTAAAGACGGACATCTTTGGAATCTATTTATTCGGCATAAAAATTGGGTTACGTATTGTGTTTTTTTTTGCAATACATTTTAAAAAAATGTATATTTTTTCAGCGTTTTGTGATTTGGGAACACAGGCAGAATTGACGCGATTCTGTCCTCGCTCCCAAAACACGGGATGTAAATGGAGCCTTAGCCCTGGTTCAAATCCGTATGGGCATGTGGGCCACAATTTGCGCTGGCACCAGATCCCATTCATTGGAATGGACTCCTGTGCTGCAGGACACGCAGGGAAGAAATTCCTCTGTGTGGGTGGTGCAGCTGCAGGTATTTTGTGCGGGTCCCCCATTCCTCTGTGTGGGTGGTGCGGCTGCAGGTATTTGTGCGGGTCCCCCGTGGTGCGGCTGCAGGTATTTGTGTGGGTCCCCCATTCCTCTGTGTGGGTGGTGCGGCTGCAGGTATTTGTGCGGGTCCCCCGTGGTGCGGCTGCAGGTATTTGTGTGGGTCCCCCATTCCTCTGTGTGGGTGGTGCGGCTGCAGGTATTTGTGCGGGTCCCCCATTCCTCTGTGTGGGTGGTGCGGCTGCAGGTATTTGTGCGGGTCCCCCCCATTCCTCTGTGTGGGTGGTGCGGCTGCAGGAATCTGTACGGGTCCCCACATTCCTCTGTGTGGGTGGTGCGGCTGCTGGTAATTGTGGGGGTCCCGTTATTCCACTCTGTGGGTGGTGCGTCTGCTGGTATTTTTGGGGGTCCCGTATTCCTCTGTGTAGGTGGTGTGGCTGCAGGTATATGTGTGGGTCCCACATTCCTTTGTGTGGGTGGTGCAGCTGCAGACATTTGTGCGGGTCCCCCATTCCTCTGTGTGGGTGGTGCAGCTGCAAGTATTTGTGGGGGTCCTGCAGCGGCACCACCCACACAGATGTGAACTGAGGGGGGTAACAGTCCCATAAAAAATGTTACAAAGCAATAGCAGCGCTGTTACCCTGGGCTGAAAGTGTGTTAGCACTACAAACATGGCCGGGACAAGGGGCGGCTGCCCTGGGCGCGGTCGGGATTTGGGGGGAAGATTATACTAGAAGGAGTGATTTGGAGGGTAGATTTGTGTTAGGAAGAGGGATCTGGGGGAGGAGGATTTGCCTTAGTAGGGATGATTGGGGGGATTTGTACTAGGAGGGGAAATATGGGGGTGGGGATTAGTGCTGGAAAAAGGGATTTGGGGGATTTGTGCTGAGAGAGGGGGATTTGGAGGGTCAGAAGATTTATACTCAGAGGGGAAATTTGAGGAGTAGAGCATTTCATTCCTATGGGACCAATTTCACCACAAAAACGGCGATATTTCGTGAACCATTTGGCGAAACGTTCCACAAAGTAATAGCAATCCAATCGGGAACAATCCGCACGTTTTGATATATTACTTGTCTTTGTAGTGTAAACACTGTGGGAGGAGTTAGGGGGGTAAATTTGGCTGTAATAATAAGAATATATATGTGAGATAACAGGAAGTGGTCGCCATGCAGGAACACTTAACTGGAGTGTGAGCTGAAAAATCAGGACATGATTTGTAAACTGCCATCACTCCCTCATTTTCAAGCTCACCGACACAAATCTTATATCAAAACGTTCAGCTATCCCTGATGCCACTAAAAATGTCCACGGCTAAGCCATAGTCCTGATAGTTTTCACAATATGACCATTTGTTTGCAACTCACACCACCCATTGACATTCATTGAAACTCCACTCTAGCCGCCTCAAATTTGAAGGGCAATTTCTAAACTGCGGCTGTGCCTTTTGGTGGAGGAAAGAACACTTCACACAATTTCCCCAGAAATTGTAGCTTTTCTAGTTGTAAATGCATTCCAAAAATGTTGATTTGCATTTGTAAAGACATACAGTATATTTGAAATGTATTTTTAAAAATATTTTTCATATATTTTGTAATATATAAAAAAACACACTTCAACATGCAGTATCTATCTATTATCTATCTATCTATCTATCTATCTATCTATCTATCTATCTATCTATCTATCTATCTATCTTTCTATCTATCTATCTATCTATCTATCTATCTATCTATCCATCTATCTATCTATCCATCTATCTATCTATCTATTATCTATCTATCTATCTATCTATCTTTCTATCTATCTATCTATCTATCTATCTATCTATCTATCCATCTATCTATCTATCTATTATCTATCTATCTATCTATCTATCTATCTATCTATCTATCTATCTATTATCTATCTATCTATCTATCTATCTATCTATCTATCTATTCTATCTATCTATCTATCTATCTATCTATCTATCTATCTATCTATCTATCTATCTATCTATCTATCATCTATCTATCTATCTATCTATCTATCTATCTATCTATCTATTATCTATCTATCTATTACTATCTATCTATCTATCTATCTATCTATCTATCTATCTATCTCTCTCTGCCCAATTCCGTCCGTCTATCATTCTATCTCCATTAGTGGGTTTGTATTCTCTGATGCTGAGGTACATAAGTAATATAAGAAAATATATTTAGTAATATATAAAAAAGACATTGAATACGGCCAAAATTGTAGCATTTCAAGTATATGTCAATATATTTGGGAAGAATATTTTTAAAATATATTTCAAAAATATATTTTTCTTCCATGTGGGGCAGTAGATGAGCTTGTCCCAGTACTGCCCACAGAACATCTATCCCTCTCCTTATCTCCATAAACATAGGAGGAGGTGTTCTGTAGTCCACAGAGACAGCTGGGAACAATGAAACTGTTAGCAGCAGCAGAGAAGACGAGACTTTAGCAGCCGAATTCATGGCAGGATCAATGGACCTTTTTTTGCACTTATTGAACAGATTGTCCTGCACCGCATAGTGTGAGCCTGGGTTTAGGGCTCCACACACATTTCCCATGCAGGCTCAGGGTTTGTTTTTGTGATCTGTAAGTCACCGGTCTCTCTGCTGTGATTTTAAATCGCGTAATCCAAGCCTCGCTCTCAGCGTTCATCACGTTATTGTCCATCGTAACGCCCCGATCACATCAAACCCGACTTTGAAATCGTGCTACTTACAGTGAAGTCGCACAATTTCAAAGTCAGGTGACCTGTCGATTTCAGGTGCGTTTTGCAGGACATCTGACACAGATGTCTATGCAAATTGCACCAAAAATAGTGCATGTACTACTATAGAAATTGGTGCGGCTCTGACCAAGTCGAAACCGCACTGATATGACTGCTCTAATTGGAGACAATAGGGTGCAACTAGGCATGTGATTTTCAAGTTGCATGGCATGCAAATCGCATGCCAATTCGCATTCAGTGTGACGTGGGGGACTTAGAGAATGATCTGCTCTCTCCATGGGCCAAAATCAGTTGGTAAAAGGCTACCTCTTAGTCCTGTGTCCTGGTTGGGTCTGTCACATTGTGCGATTTGTGTGCAATATCGGATTTCAGGTGCGATTTCTGAAGATTTTATTGCTACTTGTGAAGATTTTCAACAATTTCTTGCGATTTCCATTCTATTCTATATAAGAACTACTTTATAAATTGCACTGCAGCAAATCACACGTGTCAAGGCGTTTGACATTCACTAGACGCCATTTCAGGTGCGATTTCAATTTGCAAATCGCACCGGTGTGACCGGGGACTTGGAGGATGATCTGCTCTCTCCATGGGCCATAATCAGTGGGTAGAAGGCTACCTCTTAGTCCCGTGTCCTGGTTGGGTCTGTCAATTGCGCAATTTGTGTGCAATTTCAGTGCGATTTCTGAAGACTTTGTTGCTACTTGTGCAGATTTTCAATGACTTCTTGCAATTTGCAGTGCGATTTCCATTCTATTCTATGTATGTGAAATCGCAACAAAACTGCAGAAAAAGTAATTTTTCCCCCTGGACACAACAAATAATCAGTGGGTAGAAGTCAAGCTCCTATTTCCGTGTCCTGGTTGGGTCTGTCAATTGCGCGATTTGTGCGATTTCAGCGAGATTTCAGGTGCGATTTCTGAAGACTTTATTGCTACTTGTGAAGATTTTTCAACAATTTCTTGCGATTTCCATTCTATTCTATATATGCGAAATCGCAATAAAATTGCAGAAAAAGTCACGCAAGAACTACTTTAGAAATCACGCTGCAGCAAATCACACGTGTCAAGGCGCTGACATTCACTAGATGCCGTTTTCAGGTGCGATTTCAATTTGCAAATCGCACCGGTGTGACCGGGGACTTAGAGGATGATCTGCTCTCTCCATGGGCCATAATCAGTGGGTAGAAGGCTACCTCTTAGTCCGTGTCCTGGCTGGGTCTGTCACATTGTGCGATTTGTGTGCAATATCAGTGCGATTTCTGAAGACTTTATTGCTACTTGTGAAGATTTTCAATGACTTCTTGCAATTTGCAGTGCGATTTCCATTCTATTCTATGTATGTGAAATCGCAACAAAACTGCAGAAAAAGTAATTTTGCCCTGGGCACATCAAATAATCAGTAGGTAGAAGGCAAGCTCCTATTCCCGTGACCTGTTTGGGTCTGTCAATTGCGCGATTTGTGCGATTTCAGCGAGATTTCAGGTGCGATTTCTGAAGACTTTTTTGCTACTTGTGAAGATTTTCAACAATTTCTTGCGATTTTCATTCTATTTAATGGATGAAAATCGCAATAAAACGGCAGAAAGTCATGCAAGAACTACTTTAGAAATGCTCTGCAGCAAATTGCACCTGTCAAGGCGTTGACATTCACTAGATGCCATTTCAGGTGCGATTTCAATTTGCAAATCGCACCGGTGTGACCAGGGACTTAGAGGATGATCTGCTCATCTCCATGGGCCATAATCAGTGGGTAGAAGGCTACCTCTTAGTCCCGTGTCCTGGTTGGGTCTGTCAATTGCGCAATTTGTGTGATTTGTGTGCAATATCAGTGCGATTTCTGAAGACTTTATTGCTACTTGTGAAGATCTTCAACAATTTCTTGCGATTTCCATTCTATTCTATATATGCAAAATCGCAATAAAATTGCAGAAAAAGTCATGCAAGAACTACTTTAGAAATCGCGCTGCAGCAAATCGCACGTGTCAAGGCGCTGACATTCACTAGACGCCATTTCAGGTGCGATTTCAATTTGCAAATCGCTCCGGTGTGACCGGGGACTTAGAGGATGATCTGCTCTCTCCATGGGCCAAAATCAGTGGGTAGAAGGCTAGCTCTTAGTCCCGTGTCCTGGTTGGGTCTGTCAATTGCGCAATTTGTGTGCAATATCTGTGCGATTTCTGAAGACTTTGTTGCTACTTGTGCAGATTTTCAATGACTTCTTGCAATTTGCAGTGCGTTTTCCATTCTATTCTATGTATGTGAAATCGCAAAAAAAGGCAGAAAAAGTAATTTTGCCCCCGGTCACATCAAATAATCAGTGGGTAGAAGGCAAGCTCCTAGTCCTGTGTCCTGGTTGGGTCTGTCAATTGCACGCAATTTGTGTGCAATATCAGTGCGATTTCAGCGAGATTTCTGAAGATTTTATTGCTACTTGTGAAGATTTTCTTGCGATTTCCAGTCTATTCTATGTATGCGAAATCGCAACAAAACTGCAGAAAAAGTCACGCAAGGACTACTTTAGAAATCGCACTGCAGCAAATCGCACGTGTCAAGGCGCTGACATTCACTAGATGCGATTTCAGGTGCGATTTCAATTTGCAAATCGCTCCGGTGTGACCGGGCACTAGATGTTCCAAGTAGCCTATCCCATAAGGTAACATTGTTTCTTTTTCCGAGTCCCATAAGAATGTTACAAAGTATCAGCAGCGATGTAACCAGAGTCCCAGCATGTCACTCTACAAACCGGCGTGTGTGTTTAGC